GGGGGGGGGGGGGGGGGAAATTCGCCTCCACGCCTCCTTTTTGCACCTGTATTTTATTCATTAGGCGAGGATGGATTCGACGAGTATGACGCGAGGTGGGAAAAAAAATAAGAATAAAAAAAGTATTGCGGGATTCGAATCAGAGCTTATTTGATTCTATTGGGTATAGGTTAGACCAGTACCCAGCTACTCGTTGCACAGCGACGTGTGTGTGAGCCAAGATGATTCTTTACCGACTCCCCCCGGAAGGGTGACAGATTTTTGCCAAATTTGAATATATATGTGCTGCTAGAATGGTTGGTGCCTAGATGGGACGAACATGAAAGCCAAAGCATGAGCTTGAGTAAACAGTGCGTGTGGACGAGTCGACATGTCCATCCCCCCCCTCACCAAATCCTTACCCTAAGCTTACCACAGCAATCACTACATACTCGAACCCAGTTTGGAGTCTAAGGCTCATATATACTTATAATGCCACTTGTAGACAGCAATCAAGACTTCCTATAGACACTCTGGCTTAACGGTCTGACACCCGACGATGCAGCGGTGCTCAACCGACACTCAGACCATGTCTAGTCAAGCAGCAACGAAATGAGGTGCCCAACGGAGCTGGAAAAGCATTTGCACTGCAATATTCACTAAGTTGATAGAGATACCTATTTCGCACTCGCGATCACAGGCCCATGTTGAGTCTGTGAGACTTTGATAAAGTTCACTGGAAATATTGGTTCATCAAATTGTGAAGGAAAACCAGACAATGTTGTGCATCGCTTGAAATGCACGAGCAACATGTTGGTGAGGAAGAAGAATGAAATGATATCAAACAGGGACTAACATGATGCACTGATTCTTCGTCACGAAACAATCATGGTTTTGACGGTAGTAAAAGTAATCTATGCCGGCTCTGGAGTAGCTGTGGTGGATGATCTTTCATCTAGCATGTCTTGACCATCATTGCCTTCGTTGTCAGGTTTCTCGATGGGTACCAGTGCTCGGTCGTTGCTCGGTCTCTCAAAGGGCACGAGGGCTGTTCGTTTGGCATGTCGTACCATTTTGCGGTGTGAACGACCTCGGATATGCTTGTCCCATAACTCTTCAGTTAAGACTGTCATGTTACAGACCTCACATGTCCTGCGGCAGGGTGTGGCCTGCGAGCTAGAGGCAGCTTCAATCTTCGAGGAAAGAACACCTCGCGCAGTGTCAGAAGTTCCAGTTGGATCCGGCATATCTTCGCCGTGTAGAAACTGCCGTGTCAACTCCAGGCCCTTTTGTGCCACATGTTCGTTCCAGTGATCAATATCGGTGCTGTCAAGCACGTAAAGCTGCTTTAGCATGTCCTCTTGCTTTAGTAAAGGGAGAGTCTTGAAGGTGATCCACCTAATTTGGCCTTTGGCATAGTGTCTCGTGGCCGTTTTCATGCTCTCGAGCCCAGCCTTCCTCAGCTTTTCAAGCTCTAAGGGGTCTTCACCGGTTTTTAGACCCTTCAAGTATGGCTCAAACTGTTTGAAGCCTATAGACTGCCATATACCTTTTGACAGGTCGACATTCTCGCCACTTTGCAGTCTTTCTTGCAGACGATCATAAATTTCTGCTGTCTCAGCCATGAGACCTCTATCAACCATCTTGTCCACTCGCTTATCAAGTCTGGCTTTTAGAATGTCTGGCTTGGAGTATACCCACAATAGCAGGGCTTGCCATGGTGCGCTTTCTCTCTTATTTGGAATGGCTGTCTTGGTCGCCTTTTTCTGTTCTTGCTCTGCATAGATCTCCGACGCACGTCTGCCAGAAGTCAGGAAAATTTCGAGAGAGCGGCGGATCTTCCGTCTATCATTTGGATGCCAGCGGTCTGCCATCGCCGGGTCCACCTCACGCAATTTTGCGAGTATAGCATCCGTCGGACCGTCCAGGATCGGGTATTGGACTGCAGTATCTGGCATGGAAGTGGAGTCCTCTGCCACGCCGTCTCCTTCTACAAGAATGTCTTCAAACAGTAAACTGTTGGTGTAGTAGTGTGTTCCGCCCACGACAATAGGTAATCGGCCCCTGCTCCTAATCTCGCGGATAATTTTGCTGGCCTCTCTTTTGAAAACTCCCACAGTCCATGTGTCCTCATCTAGACCAATATTCCCGAGAAGATGATGGGGGATCGAGCGTTGTTCTTCTGGCGATATCTTATTTGTGATGATTGGTAGGCCCCGATACATCTGCATAGCATCCGCATTGATAATTTCGCCATTGTACTGGCACGCGAGTTCAACGGCAAGCTGGTGAGTCAAATCAGTGCTTTGGACATAGAAAATACGAGAATAATTATGTTTACCTCTGATTTACCGGTTCCTGTGGCTCCCAACACAACCAATAGTGGTTGAGAGGGTGGTATACGCCTCGACATCATGGAAACCAATTTGCAGATATTGACGTAAATAGGGAACATAGCATGATCTATAGCTCATGACATAGTCATAGGCATAGATCTAGATGTAAATCTGTTTCTGGGAGACAAGAAGGTTGTCTAGCATCCATGGTCTCCGAAAAGTTTTTTGCTCAATATTGATTTATACTACTGCCGAGTGCGACGGGAAGTCGCATCGTCCAGTAGGCGGTGGTTGATGAGGTACCAGAATTAAGGTAAGGAAAGTCGCCGCATTAAAGAATGACAGGGGTCTTGAGCCACACTCCCACTGAGGTGGATCGGGTCACGTGCAAGCTACGGGTGTTTGGACAGATCACACTTCCATTTTTGACAGATCGCTCCCAACCAGGACGCCTTCCATCTCCTTCCCTTAACCCCCATCTCCCCCGACTTCTCTCCTTTAAGTGCGGGAGCGTTTCCAGCTCAATTCATCTTTTCCTTCTTTCGCATGGTTGTTTAGACCACTTCTTCTTCAACATCAGCCAAAATGAGTAGCTGTAAGTCTTCCCCTGAGCGCGTGCCGCCATCGCGACGACTGTCAAGCAGAGCTGTTGGAGCTCCCAGCCTCCCAGCTTGTCAAGCTTCACTTCAGATTTCGAATCGCAATTGATCGCCCAAGCTAACCTAACGGACTGCAGTACGGTTCCTCGACCTCGTCAAGCCGTTTGTGCCGTTCCTCCCTGAGGTTCAGCAGCCGGAGACCAAGATTCCCTTCAACCAAAAGTTGATGTGGACTGGTCTGACGCTGCTGATCTTTTTGGTGATGAGCCAAATGCCGCTGTACGGAATTGTGTCGTCTGACACGTCGGATCCTCTATATTGGCTGCGTATGATGATGGCAAGTAACCGGGGCACCTTGATGGAGCTTGGTATCACGCCGATTATCTCCTCCGGAATGGTCTTCCAGCTTCTGGCTGGCACCCACATGATTGACGTCAACCTCGACCTCAAGTCCGACCGCGAGCTGTACCAGACAGCTCAGAAGCTCTTCGCCTTCATCCTCTCTGCTGGTACTGCCACGGTCTATGTCTTCACCGGTCTCTACGGCCCCCCTTCTGACCTCGGTGCCGGTATCGTCTTCCTGCTGATCCTTCAGCTGGTTGTCGCTGGCATGATTGTCATTCTGCTTGACGAGCTCCTGCAGAAGGGCTATGGCCTTGGTAGCGGTATCTCGCTCTTCATTGCGACCAACATCTGCGAGTCCATCATGTGGAAGGCTTTCTCACCGACCAGCATCAACACTGGACGTGGCCCGGAGTACGAGGGTGCTGTCATCGCCTTGTTCCACCTCTTGATGACCTGGCCTAACAAGCAGCGCGCTCTTCAGGAGGCTTTCTACCGCCAGAACCTCCCCAACATCATGAACCTGCTGGCCACCCTCCTGGTCTTCGCTGCGGTTATCTTCCTCCAGGGCTTCCGTGTCGAGATTCCCGTCAAGTCCTCCCGCCAGCGTGGCGCCCGTGGTTCTTACCCTGTCCGCTTGTTCTATACCTCCAACATGCCCATCATGCTGCAGTCTGCTCTGTCCTCCAACATCTTCCTCATCTCTCAGATGCTCTATTCTCGTTTCTCTGAGAACCTCCTTGTCCGTCTTTTCGGTGTCTGGGAGGCTAAGGAGGGCTCCTCGCAGCTGTCTGCCGTCTCTGGCCTGGCCTACTACATGTCTCCTCCCCTCAACTTCAAGGATGCGCTCCTCGATCCCATTCACACCGCTGTCTACATCGCCTACATGCTTACTGCCTGCGCCATCTTCTCGAAGACATGGATTGAGGTTTCCGGCTCTAGCCCTCGTGACGTTGCCAAACAGTTGAAGGATCAGGGCCTTGTGATGGCTGGTCACCGTGACCAGAGCATGTACAAGGAGCTGAAGCGCATCATCCCCACGGCTGCGGCCTTTGGTGGTGCCTGCATCGGAGCTCTCTCCGTTGCCAGCGACCTTATGGGAGCACTTGGCTCCGGAACCGGTACCCTCCTAGCAGTCACGTAAGTCGATCAATATATCCCGAAAATGGAGACAATACTAATTCTTGTATAGAATCATCTATGGCTACTTCGAAATCGCCGCAAAGGAGGGCGACCTCTCTGGTATGAAGGGGATGATTATGGGCTAACACCTTTGACCTTTCCCGGAAACTCAGGGGATGATAATATCTACAGGTACGACAGAGTCGTATCTTGTGTATTTAATACCAAACAAAAGTCATCCAGGACGGGGGTGTGCTTGTTTTAAGTATTGGTGGTGGGCCTGGGATATGCATCTACGGGTATGGTCTGTCTTCACTGAAAAGCAAATAAGCGGAGAGGAAAGCGCTCTAGAATCTGGCCTAGAAAAGTTGTATGATAAACCATTTGTCATCAATTAAAAAATGAAGTCTTATATCGGCGACCGGCCCTTGCCAACTGGGCGCCGATGTTGACGTTGGAATTAAGAGCCCTTGCGCCGTATTCGAAACAGTTACAAAATGCACTTGTCTACGGCCGATGGCCGACACCGGGGCTTATTGTCTTGTAGCCGCCAAGCCATGCACCCGGCCGGAGGTTTGTACCGGCAAGCTTATTGATGATGAACTCACAATGGTGATCGGATGACGCAGAGGATGAGAAGGTTCCACCTATTAGTCCTTCTCCTCCTCACAGATCACTGACTAATGGGGCCTCCTATCTCATGATCTTCACGCAACTCCTTGACTTAATTTGCTGTTAGGAGCCTGAGGACATCGACGTTTTCCAGATTGTCCTCTTCGCACCAAATGAGACCTAGGACCGCCAAAGACAGAACTTTGTGCAGGTGGGCTGGGAGCAGACTGGCACGAGACCAGTGATCAAGGGGTCCCCAATGTAGCACCCAGAACGGACTGTATGCATGGCACTTTCTGCTGACCGTTTGATGACCTCTGAACGAGCAGCCATCATGCAGGCAAGGTCTGGGATGACAGGGCGTTCCCCAGGTAGCTTGCTTGCTTATTCCATCGGGCCGCACGGCTCGTCTGATTTGTCAATGGCGAGGAGGGCTCTGGTGGGCGCCACCCCGCATTGCATTGCGAGAGGTCGGCCCTGAGAAGGCGACATCGATAAGACCACGGGCCCAGCCCGAGGCCGTGTTGCAGTGTGCAGTGTGCAGTGTGCGGTGGGCCGCCCGGCTCGNNGGCTCGATGCAGGTGTGCTCTGTGTGCGGTCGGCAGGTAGGGTATGGTAGGGGGTTGATTTGATGCGGCTACAGCGCCGAGAAAATGGGCTTGATGTCCGCCGCGTGAGTCACATTGACTGCAGTCAGTGGTCTGTAGCAGCAGTATATGCCGGTCCATTAGTCCCGGACGCCCGCTGGGAAGGGGCCTGTCTGTTTGTAGGATTTCTGCATAGAGTACCAACTCTGCTGTAGGTAGGATAGAGAAGGTCGAAAGAGGGGAGTGTGTTCGATGTGGGCACCGCTGTGACAGATCAAGATGTTTTGGGAAGGTGGATGCATTCTGCCCCAGTCTACGGGCTTGCTAAGAGCCCTAGTAGTAGGGCTACTCTAATGTAGGACGAGTGTCGGAGACAGAGCATGCCATTATCACGACAAAAGCAGAAGCAGCAGTCCATGTGCAGTAGCAGGTTGGACGACTGCTGCAGGAGGCTGGCATCCTCATCGCAGTGTCGGGCGAACGTCGACAGTGGAGATTCTAATACGTGAATGCTGATTGATTAGACGGTTGGGATCCATCTGTAGGGTCTTTCAAAGACTCCATTCAGTGTCGCTCAAGGGGGATGGAAGAGACTTTGACAAATAGCAGTGGGTGTTTATGTACTGTATGTGGTGGGTAGTTTGGAGAGGTAGAAGGGGGGAAGATACCTAGGTATAGGTAGGTAATGTAAGTAAAGCGCCGTATAACGTTAAGCTATCTCTTTGCTGCTGCAGAAGCAGATTTCTCTAGTGTAAAGCGCGAGTTGTCCCGCTCACAACTACTCGCCTAACGCCTCTGTACGGAGGTCTTCGAATCTTCGATGCGAGGAGCTGGAGAGCCGTCGCTTGACTCGACGGAAGGGAAAAAGGCTGGCTGCTGGTAATTTCACCGACTGGAGGACGGACTACCTACTACCTACTATGCGCAGTATGTAGGGGTCCGCCTGGAGGCGCTTGCTGGGGCTCTGGCAACTTTGACATCATCTGTCCTGGGGCGATGGAAGCAGCTAGAGCAGCGTTTACGCAGTATGCGAGCCGAGTGGGGGACTGCCCCAGTCCAGAGCCTGCAGAAGTACAGTGCTAATGCAGTGGCAGCATGGTAAATTGGAGCCAACATTGAGTCCGCCCCGGCGTCTGGAAGAGGCAATAGCAATCAGGTGAATGGGGGGAATGGCATTGCACACTGCAGAGGAGAAATTGAGGAATCGCGCAAATACACAATACGGATTGAAAAGTGGTGGTTAGCGTTATAGCGCGAGGAGCAAAGGCAATGATGGAACCAATACTTGCTACATATGTATGTATGAATGAATTCGGTCGATGCATGCACGAGAATTGCCTGCGTCAGATAATCACTTGCGCCATATCAATTACATGGGTATGCCCTGACCTGGCAAAAGTACAGTAAATATCCCATCAGATAAGAGAAAGGGAAAAGCTGGGCGCGAGATATTCATTATTAGGTCATCCCTCTGTGTCCCTCTCGGCGCGGCTCCCTTCCATCCCATCCCTACCTAGGTACCTTGGCTCGCTTGGGTAGTGAAGGGCTGCCCTTCAGGGTTGTCTTCTCTTACTGCACAGTACCTTCTCTTGCTCTTATCTTATCTCGGCATGCGAAGGTCAAGGCAGCATCGCGAATGCAATGCAAGCGATTTAAGACACGGCAAGCTTGCTGTGCTCGTATATCTCCTAGCCGAGCCCAGACAATTGCAAGTCTTCATACCTGAGTGCTGCCCTGCAGGCATGCAGACATAACATTGGACTGGACACATCGCGCCCATTACTATTATTATTAGATCTAACACAATCTAACACATGCCCGTCTTTCTTATTGTATTGTGTCATGTCGTCGTGATGCATGTATGTATATGGTATGTATGTATGTATGTATGTAAGTACTGCATGTTTTATCCCACCGCATATCTACCTACCTACATTTCTACACGAGTACCTGCTGTGCCTATCACACCTTTTGCTCCATTGGCTTTGACAATGCTACCCATTAAGTTACCTAGACTGACAGGGGCCTGTATTGCCTATCTTGTCTTTAATACAAGTACCTACATACGTTCCGGACTATTGCGATAAAGTATCACTCTCCGCCTCCCCCAGACCAAGGGATGCCGGTGGTCTGATTAGATGGTGGTCACAACAGAGTCGTCATTGACATTGGAGGTGAGGTCGCTGATCTGGTGCACGCAATAGCACGCTCAAGGCATGCTATCCGTAGCTATCGGCACCTTTCTATCTACCTAGGTAGGTCCACGACTCAACCTGCCCTGTCCTGGCCTGGCCTGGCCTGGAAGCCCTCCCCGCCCCCCCGGGCGAACCTGAACCGGCGGCGTAGTGCGTAGGGATCGTGCTTGTGTGTGCTGCTGGTGCTGCCCCCAGGAATTGTTAGCAGGGTTACTTAGGCAGTGCTACGCAAGCTTGGAGCTTGGGTACTCCATTAGCTAGGGTGTGCCGCTTAATCAGGTCAGAGAGCCTAGTGGACCTGTAGGAAGTCTCGGCGCAACCCACCAGGACTTATCAGATGGGATACCAGTCGAGCAGCGTAGTGGAGTGAAGTGAAAGTGTAGTACCTAGGTAGCGTCATAGTAGAGGTTACTTTAGGTCCAAGTCAGGTAGGTAGTGTAGAAGACCCGCATTCCTCGCTACTGGGCACTGGATTGACACACCGCAAAGATTCCGCGTCTTTCCTCCAACAACTTTTCCTGCTGTCACGATCATCTGCTGTATCTTGCTTCTCTTCTTCCCCCAGCTGTGCAGCTGTTCCATGTTCGAGTGGTTCCCGGGGGGAAAGCACCTCATCATTGTCAAGCAACGAGCCCATCTCCGAAGCCGCTCGTTACCCCAATTCGCCTGGACGCACGGCTACCCAGAGGCGCAAATCCTCCCGAGGAGCGCGCGGGGCAATCAATCATGGGCTTCGCGTCTTGCCAGTGGCCCATCTGGCAGGTCGACGACCTGACATTGTGCTTCCAGCAGGAGTAAGCAGAGCTGACATCCCAGAAACCCCCCTCCCAATGAGACATCTTGTGCTAACCTGCTACAGCTATCTCAAAGTGCTGCTGCCAGTGATACTTATATCTCTGTCCTTCCTCGCCCTCGTGCTTCAGAATGTCCGCCGAGCTGTCAAGATAAAAAAGGAGGACGGCTACACGCCGGTGCACGCCAATGGAGATGCTGCACGAGCCCACACGGAGCTGCCTCCGGAAGAGGAGCCAATTGACGATTCTGATGATGAAGGGTTGACCATCAGTGGCAACCTGGGCCGACTCGCCCTGGCCAAGACAACCACCAAAGGTTCCATCGTGCAGGCGGATGCGCCCATCGGCAAGACCTTGTCTATCGTCGCCGAAGAGGTTCTGGTTCTTGGTATGGTCGTTGTGAACGCAACTGCACTTGCTACCGGCTCCTATGGCGAGACCTCTCTGGCTTCCGCAATCGGCCTCGTCGCCTGGCTCTATGCATTGGTGCTCGTGACTTTGCGCCTTGTTCTCGGAAATACTCAGAGACGAGTCCCAGGCCTCTGGAACCACACCGCCGTCATCTACGGCTTCCAATGGCTCTTCGTTATCCCTATCTTTCGATCGGTCCTGATTCACCCAAGCTCGAAACTTACGCAAGTTCTCGTTATCATCGAATTTGCTTTCACAACAGTGCTGTTTGGTATTGCCATCACAACCAGAAAGGGAAACAAGGTTATCTTGTTGGAGTGGGAGGATGGAATCGAGCCGTCTCGCGAGCCATTGGCTTCCATCTTTTCCGAGTACACTTTCTCCTGGGTTGACTCCCTGGTCTGGCAGGGATATCAGGAACCCATGGAAATGCCCCATGTGTGGAACTTGGCACCAAAGGACAAAGCCGCTGCCGTTCTCGCAACCTATCGCCAGATCAAGAAGACGACAAACCTCGCAATTCACCTCCTATCTTACTTCAAGGGCATGCTCCTTGTTCAGACTGTTTGGGCTATGCTGGCCGGGGTCTTCACTTTTGCACCGACTATGCTTCTGAAAGCCATTCTAGAATACGTTGAGGACCCATCCCAAGCTCCGCGCAATGTCCTCTGGCTCTACGTCGTCCTTCTGCCGGTTAGTGACCTGCTAAAATCCATTGCTGACAATCAGGCGCTGTGGATCGGACGAAAGATCTGCATCAACATCCGCGCCATTCTGATTGGAGAAATTTACGCAAAGTCTCTTCGTCGCAAGGCCGCCGCTGGAAAGGACTCTGTCCTAGGAAAGACAGCGCAAGATAAGAAGGAAAGTGAAGAGCCGAAGGGGCTTGTTGCGAAGATTAAGCGCGTACTCCGACTCGAGAAGAAACAAGACCAGAGCAATGGGGCCCCAGCCGCCGATGGCGCGGATGGTGCGAAAGATAAGGACAAGAAAGAGGACAATGACGAGCAAGCGAATCTGGGCACTATTATCAACTTGATGTCTGTCGACAGCTTCAAGGTGTCCGAAGTCACGGCGTATCTCCATTTCTTGGTCGCATCGGCTCCTACACAACTGATAGTCTGCATCTTCCTCCTATACCGCGTCATGGGTTTGAGTGCCATTCCTGGTTTCATCATCATGGCGCTCCTTCTTCCGGTTAATATTTTCTTTGGAAAAGCCTTCAACAGCAGTCAGAAGAAGATTATGGCCGCAACTGATAAGCGAATCCACATCACGAACGAAGTTTTACAGAATATTCGTATCATCAAGTATTTCGCATGGGAGCAGCGATTCAGCGAGTTAGTCGACGAAAAGAGAAGGGCAGAACTGGCAGCACTACGGAAACGATTCATTATCTGGGCCTCTGCTGTAGGCGTGTGGCTCAGTGTACCAGTCCTCATCACCTTCTTCTCGTTCTTTGTTTATACGGTCATCGAAAAGAAGCCATTGTATCCATCGGTTGCTTTCACTGCTATTTCGCTGTTCATGCTGCTTCGGTTCCCCCTGGATCAGATCGGAGACATGATCGCTCACGTTCAGGAGTCTCAAGTATCAATTGACCGTATCGAAGAGTTCCTGTCCGAGGCGGAGACTGAAAAATTCGAGCAACTTGGCGAGGACAACACTGATGAAAATGGAAAGAAAGCTATTGGGTTCAGGAAGGCCACTTTCATCTGGGGCAGCAAGGATGCCGTTGCCGAAGACGGCTCAATGGCATTCCGACTCTTGGACTTGGATATCGATTTTAAGATTGGCAAACTTAATGTCATTACCGGCCCTACGGGATCCGGCAAGACTTCGATGCTTATGGCTCTGCTTGGAGAGATGACTATCATGGAAGGAAGGGTCTACCTACCCGGCGGACGAAGCCGTGAAGATGTGCGGCCCGATCCTGAAACCAACCTCGCTGATACATGTGCCTATGTTGCTCAGCAGGCTTGGCTCGTTAACGCAAATATCAAGGAGAACATATTATTTTCCGCTCCCTTGGATGAGAAGCGGTACAAGGATGTCATTGTAGCTTGTGCCTTGGAACGAGATCTCGAGATCCTCGATAATGGCGATGAAACTCTTGTTGGCGAGAAAGGCATAACCCTCTCGGGCGGTCAGAAACAACGAATCTCTCTGGCTAGAGCTGTCTATTCCAACTCGCAGCACTTGCTTCTTGACGACTGCTTGAGCGCGGTTGACTCTCACACCGCTCAATGGATCTTCAACAATTGTCTCATGGGACCTTTGATGCATGGTCGTACCTGTATCCTTGTTTCACACAACATCCCACTTACAGTTCCTCACGCCAATTTCGTTGTTGTGATGAACAATGGCCGTGTGACGCACCAGGGTGAGACTCAGGAGATTATCGCCACTGGCGCTCTCGGAGAGGATGTTCAAAAGATCAAGCCAATATCTAGGACTGTATCAAGAGTTCCTTCTCGAGTACCGTCGAGCGTTGGTGAAGAGAGCGGCGACACCCTTGTCAATGGCGAAGTGAACGGAGACCATATTTCCAAGCCCAGTGAATCTGGCACTAAAAAGCAGAAGAAGGAGCTTCCGGAAGAGACCAAGGCAACTGGCGCCGTGAAATGGCCCGTCCTCAAGCTTTACTTGACTTCAATGGGCTCTTGGTGGTTCTGGACTGTAGCTGTGTTTGTGTTCAGTCTTCAACAGCTGATGGGTGTTGCATCGAACGTCTGGGTCAAGGAATGGGCAAATCAATACACCACAGAGGAGGTCTCGAAGATTCAGTTCAACGCGAACTCCCTGAGTCCTTCAAGTCACTCAGTTTCACCAACTTACTTCGCATCGATTGCCAACTATGCTAAGCCCCAGAACTGGCTGCAAAGCAACTCTTCAGATTTCTCCGCGACGCAGGGACCGCATGTCAATGTGGCCTATTACCTAGGCATTCTTGCTGTCATTGGTGTGATCAATTCCCTGGCTGCATTAGTTAGAGATTTGTGGCTCTTCTTTGGCTCCCTGAATGCATCATGGAAGCTCCACAATCGCTTGATGAGCGCGATAACAACAGCCAGATTCACATTCTTCGATGTAACGCCTCTTGGCCAGATGATGAACCGCTTCAGCAAGGATCTGGAAGGAGTCGATCAAGAAGTCGCGCCGACGGCTATTGGCGTGATGGCTTGCGCTTTGGGCGTGGGCGTCACTGTGGCTCTGATTGCTGCAATCACTCCTGGTTTCTTGATCGCTGGCGTATTCATCACCGTAGCATACGTTGCTTTGGGAATGTTCTACCTTACTTCATCTCGCGATCTAAAGCGATTGGAATCGGTGCAGAGGAGTCCTCTCTTCCAGCAATTTGGTGAGACGCTATCTGGTGTCACCACCATCCGTGCATATGGTGATGAGAGACGTTTCATCCGGGACAATCTGAGCCGAATCAACAGCCAACTACGTCCTTTCTACTTCCTCTGGGGTGCCAACAGATGGCTTGCCTTCAGGACTGACATCCTTGGTGACTTTGTTGCTTTCTTCGCTGGTGTATTCGTCATCATCAGCTTAGGTCGCATCGATCCCGGCTCTGCTGGTCTGTCACTCAGCTATGCCATTGGTTTCGCTGACAATATCCTTTGGCTTGTACGTCTGTACGCTATGAACGAACAGAACATGAACTCCGTTGAGCGTATCAAGGAGTATCTCGAGATTGAGCAGGAAGCCGATGCTATTGTCGAGAAGAATCGACCTCCAGAGAACTGGCCGAGCCAAGGCTCTGTTGAGTTCATTGGATACACCACGAGGTATCGGAAAGATTTAGAGCCGGTCCTTCGGAATCTCAGCTTCAGGATTGGTGCTAGAGAGAAGGTTGGCATCGTTGGCCGGACAGGTGCAGGAAAGAGTTCTTTGGCTCTTGCAATTTTCCGAGCGCTAGAGGCTGATGAGGGCAAGATCCTCATTGACGATGTCGATATTGGGTTGATTGGCTTGCGCGACCTGCGTGAGGCAATCACCATCGTTCCCCAGGAGCCCACACTATTTACGGGCACTATCCGGAGTAACCTGGATCCATTTAGCGCTTACACCGACGAGGAGATATTTGCAGCCCTTCGTCGTGTGCAGCTTATCGCTCCCCATGAATCTACTACAAGACCGGCTTCTGCAAACGCCTCCGTTCCCCCTACACCCACTATTGCCCAGTCGAGTATCGAATCATCGCAGTTGCTCGTCCCACCAACGCCGACGGCAAGCAACAGGAATATCTTCCTTGACCTTTCATCGTCCGTGGCGGAATCGGGTTCAAACCTGTCGCAGGGCCAGAGACAGCTTCTGTGTCTCGCTCGGGCCATGCTTAAGAACCCTAGAGTTCTTGTGATGGACGAGGCAACAGCATCCATCGACTACGCGACTGACTCCAAGATTCAGGAGACAATACGGGAGCTTACCAGCACTACAATCACCATCGCACATCGTCTGCAGACCATTGTGGACTATGACAAGGTGTTGGTGCTCGATAAGGGCGAGATCGTTGAGTACGGCCACCCGTGGGAGCTGATGAAGAACAAGGAAGGCAGCTTCCGCAGCATGTGCGACATGTCGGGCGACTACGACGTGCTGGCCAAGGCGGCCAAGAAGGCGTGGAAGGAGAAGCACGAGCTGGTGGATGTAGACGATGAGAGCGACAAGGACGGGTCGGCGATCGCTGCTAGCGCGGACACCTCCGCCTCGAGCTGAGAAGAAGATGTAATGTAATGAGATGCGATGCGGACTGGCGGCGTACCCATGTAATTGTGTCGCATTCGTTTCTGTGTATAGATTGGTTGGTGGGTTGGTCGGCGTGTTTTCTTGAATAAAAAGCTCTTGAATATCTACATTCACGGTATGACTTGATGAATCTCGAATTGTGATTACTCAGATATGCAGGTGAATTCCTAGAGGATTACAGCCTACTTCCCATGATATGCTTTTGGATATATGGCTTCAGCGTCTTGTCATAGATTTACTCTGGTTCAAGTCTCAGGGGCAAGGGGCCAAGTAAGACAGCAGCTAGTATAACAGCACTGTAGGGGCACTAATGCGCCCCGATTTCAGCCTCATAAACCGTTTTGCCCCACTACAGTCACTACAGCTCTGCCACCCCACGATTAGCAAGCACCTTAAACTAAGGCGATCATTCTGGGGCAAACATTTCAACTTCTGTTTCACAAGTGATCTTGCGCCATGGAGGTCACAAATCCAAGGAGGATATTAGCAGTCTCGTTAGAGACCTCAGAGAAGGACCTCAGTCAGGTTATAAAAGGCAAGTTGCGAGCGAGCTGACAGGAGCCGAACGGTCCATTGCGCGCGCCGCCTGGTCTGGAGGAGCCCGCCCGGATGATATCTAACTTGTGCGACAGACTTGACAGGCACACACCCAGAGCCGGCGGCGTCATCGTCGCTAGCGGGCATAACGCACAACCTGCCGCTCAAGACGGCGTACTACACCGCCCAGGTGCCCGTCTGGCTGGACCTGGTCACCTCGCCGTCCGAGTGGGCCGCGTCGTTCCTCGCCCCTGAGGCCAAGGAGGTGCTGGAGGTGCTCGGCGGCGTCGTGGTCGTCTTCTCGGTGCAGAGCGGCGCGGGCGCCGCGTCGGTGAGGGAAGCCAGGGAGCTCATCGGCCACGTGGGGAAGGTCGTGAAGGAAGGCCTGGGCGGCTGGGACTGGGATGGCGTGAGCCTTGGGATCGGGGTTGGCGATGCCGACTTTGATGATCTGGACGAGTGGGACGAGGTGTGCGCGGAGTGGGGCCTTGAGTTTGTCCATGCGAAGGGCCAGACGGCTGATGTCAAGAATGAATTTGGAGGTTTGTTTGTTGTTACTTTGCGGTCGTGGTGAGTGATCTGTTAACTTGTGGGCAGAAAGGGTTGGCGTGGCGAGGGCACTCGAAGCTCTGGAGTCGAATGACTGGGCACAGGCTACAGGTCTGGATGACGACGACGATGCTCTGGATGGTTCTGAATTTGGAGACTTTACTGCCCCCACCGCAAAGAGCAACGATGCAACGAATAAAGACGACGAGGAAGACGCAGATTTTGACCCTGAGGACCTTGACTTTGGCTTTGACAGAGAAGATTTTGCTGGCCTCAGGCAAGCCATCTGGAGTGCTAGCAGCGACCGTGAACAAGGCGCCTCTGGTGATAAGGGAGGGCCTGGAGATCCTAGACCTAGCAACGAGGAGATAGGGGACGAGGATGTTCAGAAGCTAGAGCGCATGATGCGCAAGTTACAAGCTGTGAGAGACATGAATGAAGGTCTACCAGAGGAGCAGAAGAGGCGCAAAGCGAAACAAGCTGTGGAAGAAGTAATGAAAGAGCTATAGACAGTATTCTGGGCTTATCGTTCACGGCTGTAGCAATACACCGAAGCTCTCAAATTATTTCAACACCTATCTCCTACAGCAGTGTATAGTCCGTGGAATATCCCCGGGATCCCAGCTTGTTGTCGGTCACTATGCCGTCCACAATACCAGTCCAAAAAATACTCATCTGGCCAGATTGATGTGGTCAGTGTTGTGCCTGTCATTCTCAACCTGTGATAGTCGAACATCGGGGACAAGTTTATACATGCGATCTAGATGATTGCTCGCCACAAGCGATTGGGTCACAAAGTCCTACGCAAGACTTGCTTTCCAACCGTTGAAACCCGCAGACATACGATTGCTTCTAATTGTTATTCGGTTGCCGTTTCACAGAAGAAAATTGCAGATTCACCTCACACAGTTACAATTGCCGGTGTCATCAGGCCAGGACTAGGATATTTTTCAGGCACTGGATATGCCACAAACCTGCACACAATGAATGTGAAACTCTTCCATGGGTGATCACACAGTCTTCACCGCTGGTTGTCCCTTGCCTGCTCACTAGTGATCACAAGAACATCCACGTCAAGCACCTCGACTTCAAAGAGAACGGAAAATGCCCCGAGTTGGTGTCGCACAAGCTGGCACACCTTGATAGCGGTAGCACAAGGCATCCAAGTCAAGTTACACCGGCGAGCCACCAGTCGCGCGATTTTTCTGGAATCGTGGGGTAAAATCGGCCAATGGAGCCATCTGTGTGCCATCCAGTGGTGCTCTCATGTCGTGCAAGACTCCTGTCATGCTGTCGCCTTCAGGTCCTGGGACAGGGGAATGCACCATCTGTCAACCTTCGGGGGGTCGCACGATGCAACCAAGCCGGGCACGCGTGTTGTCTGGTACCACGGGAAGCAGCACATCAGGTCACCAGGATGCCTAACCCCGTGGAGGACAGCACTGGAGACCTCGAAGACACGAGGAAGTCGCCTCAACGACATCGTGACTTTGAGAATACCTAGAGACTCGAAATCCTTTCATCGCAGAGCTTGCCTTCCTCAGTCAGCAGTGGCTCCACGACAGCTGTTTGTCTCACCGCCAGAGCAGCTCAGATCATCCTCCGGCTGATCCGCAAGGCGATGGAAAGAGGGCGGGAATGTCTCGGCTAGAGAGACCGGCATGCCCTCGAGGCGACGACAGGCGATAAATTAAGCCTCACTTGCTGAGAAAGCTCCGAATTGGGACAGGGCGTGTTCGGTTCCTGCATGTCCTTGTGCAACACCGGCAAGGATCAAGGGAGAAGCGACGGTGAGCCATGTTTGACTCCGGTCAGCGGTTATGCCCGGATATCACACGAGCCTGGCAGGATGCGGAGTAAGCATTCTGACGAGAGAAACGCGGGATGGCCAACGGGATGTCAAAGGCTTGGCACGGAGGATTTACTGCAATATGCTTCCCTGGGCCGGAGGTATAGGCGGGTTTGAGCTTGGTGTGTCGGACGTTCGCTTCTATGGCGCTGCGGCTCTGCACGTAATATTCACACCTGCAAATCAGCTCGGGTGTCACTGCACATCACTGACTCGCTTGCCACTCAGTTGGGAGCTGTACTGCTGTTCCTTATCTCTGGAGTTGTCTCGGAGATGTGCTCGAGGTAAACTCGAGATGCATCCGCATCCCACTCGCTTAGACGGACCGGCAGGAGGTCCCATTTTGCTCAGGGTGACAGAGGTTCCTGTATGAACGAGTTTTGACACCACCGCTCGATTGAGCTAGGTCTCTCCATCCAAGCCGAAGATAGACGCAGGTGTAAGCCGGCATTCGAGCTAAATTTGCTTCTCCATGTGATGCGGAGAAGGCCCGTCCCTTGGTTGCGATGTGGACACCTAGGATCTGATATCAGCGATAAAGTTGCGTAAGCCTCGCGAGAGGGTTACTGACGTGGCAAAGCTGCGAGTCGCTTAAAATGCACATGCTCTGATCTGCAGCCCACCAATTCGGATCAGAATACTGTGTTAGGACGGCGAAAATGATCGTATTTCAAGTACTTGAGTCAGGACAGTAAGGTACTGATACGGTGTGCTACAAAGGACTGGGAGTCAGGCTCCTTGCGGTTAGCTGTCTCCCGGATGAAGCCCCTGGGGAGCATTCTCATATCATAAGCGACAAGGAGAGAAACACCCGGAGGAATAAAATGACAACTCATTCCGGCGTGCTTCTATCAGTCTTACTTTGCATGAGGCTGAGAGGTTGTGGTGAGTCAGGAGGAGTGCATTGAACACCGGAGCGGAATTTAATGTCCTCATGTGATGTCCCGCTTAATGCAACATTTACTTGCTGACATTGTTGAATCCGGTGAACGGCATATTGCGATCTCTACACCTTTTCCAATGATGTGCTTGCCCAGAGATGCGAGGCCCTGTGCCTAATCTCTTTCGGCTGAGCTGTCATGTAACACGGCGGGGGCCTGGGGAACGGACCTCTGAGGTTGGTGTATTTCTCGGTGTAAATAAGGTGTCCTTGCGCAAGCATATTGATGGCGTCTCACCCTGCAGATTCTGGCCAAGCCATGAGCGCCGCGAGGAAGGCGGAGGAGCCTGCAGCTCAACATAAAAATACAAGAATGTCTCAATATCTCACCTTACAGGACCCCAAGCTGCCTCCTTGCGACGACAAACCAATGCAAATATTTGATGACATGCTAACGAGGAGAGACGGGAGCTGCAATAAGACCTTGTACCTTGTACATAGTCGTTGCTTTCAGTATTCGCCGCCCCGAACCCAGACGCGCGGGACTGCCCGTTGTTTAGGGCTGACAGCAGATCCATAGTAGGCAAAGAGCTTGCTCGCACAGCTTCAACAAGCGCTCGCATCCCAAATCCCCACGTGCCTCCGCTTCGTGGCACACCTTCAGACTCCTGTATGTGTGTGGCACGTCTGAGGGGGAAAGTGATAGATCACAACACGAGCGACTGCGCGGCCCGATGTAGGTACAGTACACTGGTCCGGCCGAGACAAGGTGTGACTCGCGGTGACCGATTGATTGCCTCAGAATGTTGAAGAAGTGAAGCAAATGGCGGAATTGGGGGACGTGGATATGTCGAGTTTGAGATTAGTTGTCGTTGCGAGCTGAGCCTGCCTGACTCTGGTTGCACAAAGACATGCAGTTGGCTGCAGGTCTCGTCGACCCTAGCACTCGCTAGCGAATTGGCATTGAGCTCTGCGACGATGGCGGTGGGCGATGGAGCACTGGGGCGCAGGAGGATGGGCTTGCTGGCCGTGATGTTGACTGGATGACAATCTGGTGATGCGTGTTGAATAGCGCCAGTGTCTTGCACCGTCCGCAGCACGCGACGCTAATTTTGGGAACGACTGCGACTTGGCACCGTGTTCTGAGGGAAATTGTCATGCAGAATACTATCTCATATCATATTTCGGTTGCTGACACGAAGTGGAAAGTACCTTCTTACCCTGCTCGCGAGTCCTTGGATACAGCCACAGCGTACCGAAACTGTGGTTGAGTGGCTTGTCAGATGGGAAGGGATAAGACGCATGGTGTTAGTAAACACGCAGAGCGTGGGGTGTCCCGCGCAATCCGCCATACACGATTCGCAATTCAAGTCCTTATAGAGTCGTCCATCAGCCTGTACAACTGTGGATACGCAACTTGCGTGATAAGATGTGCCATTGAGAGATCCTAGGTAATATGCGGTAGACTACAAGCTGCACTTAGAAGCTGGAATCGTCGATGTCGGTGCGGAAGAGGCTGCCGTCTAGGCGGCACTCTGTTCCCGTAGACACATGAATGAGAAAAATGTAACCCTCCTGCCGCAGAATGAGGCGAGCAGACCTTAGTCTAAATTGTAGAAGCTGCCGGAATAGTGTGATGCGTACTATCTCTTCAGATATAGTGTCAACCTTGCGGGCTTTCCTGTGCTATAGATAACCCTGCGACTCCAATTAGTTACTGATTTATCAACTACGTCATCAGAACGCATGAGCTGACAACTGCACCTCTACCAGGCAAAAGGCAAAGTCCGAAAGATCCGAAAGGGCGGTACAGGCTACTACAGGACTAATGCGGAGGTGGAGGTGCTGGGATCAGGGAACTCACTGGAAGGAAGGATTCTAGAAGAAATGCTCCACGCCGAATCGACACAGGGGCTGAGTGACAAGGGTGTTGGGAAGCCTGGTCACGAATTGAGGGACCAGCGACTCTTGGCTAACATGCAATTTGCGTGCGAACCCAAATGGCAACTAATGTTCCTGTACTGAAAGTCCTTAAGTCGACTAAACTGTGAACCGCGATATATTCAATCACTTTCAGCATGGTTGTATAAACTAACTAATGGTCTCTGCAGCCACACGATGTCAGGCGATATTGGGAACGCTGTGATCGAGTAACCGAGAAATGATTACGTGCTTGATCGAGCCATGTATGTAGTATGTAGGCTAGAGGACTACCTCCTGAAAGGGCCGTCAGGCACGCGAAACCCCCTTATTGACAGAAATTAGCTAACAGGGGCGGTCAAACATCACCGAAGACGTTAGGAATAACGGTGACGAATACTCCCTTGTCGCGAAACGCGACTGAATAGGCCTCTTCCTATGGTTGCAATCTTCGAGGCCCCTGCTATCTCGCTGCACGACAGAATATGATTTGCAGCATGGCCATAGCGCACCTAGAGAAAAGGGGGGAACCGGGGTTCGTCGTCCTTTAGATTTGGGACCAATGATCTACCATCACTTGCGATTGAGTTGACTCCTCAAATAATGGGACCGTGAATGTTCTCTTTAATCGTGTCTATTGGGAACTGTGCATCTTCAAACAAGTATCAATTGTTGGATGATGCCCATCTTGAGTAGTTCGCATGGCTTTTATCAGCACAGGTGAAGAGGAGGATGGTGCATCTCGAATGATTGGGGGGTGGGTGCCACCTCGCTGCGGTCGTCCAGACTTGTGACGGAGAACGGGGGCTTCAGATCCCGTTTGCCGCGTGTCATTGCCGGGATACCCATCAAGTCACCGA